TGCAATGCTTGGTAAGAAATGTACGTATTATCCTGCCCATGCAATTGTAACCCCTCTGTACAGTATGTTCACAAATAAAATAAAATAAAATTAAAAAAAAAAAAAAAGAAGCTCAGGAACAGTGCCCAGATCCTGAGTTCAAGCCCTAAGACTGGCAAAAGAAAAAAAAGCCTGGTTCAGGTGGTAGGTACATCCAAGGTCCTCGATTTAAAACCACATTACTGCCAATAACAAATTACTATTATTTTAAATTTAAATTGATTTTTTAAATTTCAGCATACTAAAAAAAATTGTTTAATACTGAATCAATCAACTTTAAAAAAAACTGAATCTAAACGTATAAGAGGATTGAGGCTCAAATAATTCAGCCAGTTTAACTAACTTAAAGAAAAGTCTGAAAACCAGGACTGAAACCAGTAACATCAGGGGAAGGGGGAGGGGATTTTAAAGGTACCTACCGTCTACTTTAATACCTATACTGTACAGAAGAGTAACATTACACCCAGGTTATAAAAGATGGAAACACAGCTTCGAAACGGAAATTGTAAACTGTCAAAGCAATTAACACAGCTAGTAAGATAGTGGACCTAGTGGTATCTGAATTTGTGATCTCTCTGTTATACTATGGGACATCCCCAAATTGGTTATCAAAAAAGTAAACAAGGCCCAGTGCTCCTGTAGTGTTTCTTCTGTTCCATCTCTTCATTCCATTCTGCTGAAAAGTAGCTAAGGATAGCTAATCAGGATGCAACCAAAGGCCAGGCACATTGGGCAGAACATTACTCACCTAGGCCTTGCTCATCTCCAGTCAGATATTCCTAGCCCAAAGCAAAGGTTACAAAATCAAGACTTAGACCTTTCCCCAAAGGACAGATCCCCACCAATGCCCATGCCAAGCACACCTGCCCACCTGGATAGGCAGCCCCCTCCGTCTACAACCTCTTGTACATGGAGGGTCCCACAACATTTATGCAGGGAGGGAAAAGAGTAACACAGCCGCAGCAGCAAAAACCACCATTTATTGAGCGCTTACTATTTGCCAGGCACTGTTCTAAGTGTCTTACTTATGTCATTTCTCACTTTTTTTTTTGGTCAATCGTGGGGCTTGAACTCTGGGCCTGGGCGCTGTCCCTGAGCTCTTCAAGTCAAGGCTAGCGCTCTACCACGTGAGCCACAGCGCCACTTCCAGTTTTCTGGGGGTTAGTTGGAGATAAGAGTCTCACAGACTTTTCAGCCCAGGCTGGCTTTGAACTGCAATCCTCAGATCTCAGGCTCCTGAATAGCTAGGATTACAGGGGTGAGCCACCAGCGCCAGGCTTTTTTCTCACAATTCTATGTGGTAGATTCATTTACAAATAAATTAAGGCTTAGAGCAGTTAAGCAAGTTGCCAATAATCACACAATTTTTTGGGGGGTCGTCATAGGGCTTGAACTCTGGGTCTGGGCGCTGTCCCTCAGCTCTTCAGCTCAAGGCGAGCACACTCTACCACGTGAGTCACAGCGCCACTTCTGGTTTTCTGGTGGTTAATTGGAGATAAGAGTCTCACAGACTCCTGTCCAGGCTAGCTCTGAACCATCATCCTCAGATTTCAGCCTTCTGAGTAGCTAGGAATACAGGCATGAACCACCAGCACCCAGCTTGGTCACACAGTCTCATTACTTTAGCAAGTACAGCTGGTTCCTGGGACAGACCTCTAGAAGAACTATAACTATAGTCTGGCCTTGAGACATGGCTTCCCTGCAGATGAAGACTAAGCATAATACACTTACTTCAAGAAAGAAATAGCCCCAGAACAACTCTGGGTACAGAAGACACAATCAGACACTGAAATCTAACTTGGGCCATGCTTTTACAACAGGCTTTTACAACAAAAGCTTCCTCTTGTCTTTTTCCCAGCCTGGCCTGGCAAGTCTGGGAAAGTCTGGCAAGTCTGTTTGCCTGTTTCCCACAAACAACCCATTCTTCCTACTACCATCTAGTACTCCTTTATCTCTAATCTTCACATTGAGGGCTAGCAATACAAGTAGAGGTGTCATGAGCCCCTCCTTTGTAGTCAAGAATCTATTGCTTTCCACCTAGTCTCATCCCTTAGGACAGAATGTGGCATATAGTAAGTGCTCAATAAATTATCTCATTGAATAAACAAAGGAGTGAACAAAAACTTTACCTCCAGGGCTGCAGTTTCTTTATCTGGGGATATGGGAGAAGGTGCAAGGACGGAATTAGATGAGTAATCTCCAAGATTTCCTCTTGCTTTAATACCATATATTTTTTATATATGATCACCCCTGAGGTGGGCCTCTGCTGAAAATCTTCCCTATCTACGATCCCATCCCTCTAACAGTTCTAGTTATCTAATAGCTTGACACAAACACAATGATCTCTCTATAAATTTAGCAGGGGCCCACATGACTTAGTTAATATTGCTGATCTTTACCCTAAATCTGAATGAACATTTTTATTAATGTTCTCATACCACTACCCTACTCATATGAAGTTTCCATAATACTTAAGACAGCTTGTTGGGCAGATGTGTCAACTCCTTGACAGAGTGATTCTCCATTAGGAACAGTTCTATCCCATTGGGAGTTTTTTTTGTTTTGGTTTTGGTTTTATGGAATCACTGAAAGTTGTCACTAAGATTGGGCAATGGGAGGAGCTGCAACTGGCATTAACAGAGACCAGGGATGCTAAACATCTAGAAATACATGGAACAGTTCTAGCAATGAAGAATTGTTTTGTCCAAGATGGGACTTGTTCTCCCTTTTCAAAAATAACTGTCTTTGGCACTGGCAGCCAGCTGGCACCCTGTATTTTGTAAGCCATGAAATTAAAGTCATCCATGGTAAATATGTCAGGTGCACTAGAAAATACTATTGCTGAACCCTCTCTTTCCTTTGAAGAAATCTGATCTGATTCTGAATGTAAAAAAGAAAAAGAAAAAATAATGCCCTAAGTAACCTGTCACCTGAGTTTCTAAGCAACTTAACCACTTTGTTTCATCCTGAACCAAAGGAAACACATTACTTGGAGGGAAGAAACACAACCACAAAACAGCCTAGGTATGCCTAGGCTCCAAAGTTTATCTTGGGAGACATAAAAGAGCCCACACATCCACCAACCATATTTGGCCTGGCCCAGGGCCCAAGCCCCAAACAAAAGGAAACCATGAGTCCCTAAAGAGCCCTCTGGGCAGGCTCACCTGCAAGAAGGTATCTGTGGGACAGTGACCAAGGGAACATTGGAGGGTGTGTCTCGGCCTCCTTCCTCTGGCTCCTTCTTGATCTTTTGCTTCGAACTTGTCTTGTTCTTCTTGGGTACTCCCTTGAGGGGGGTTCCCACCCCACCTTGGCCTTCCTGTTCCTCCTCCTCTACTTCTTCTGCTTCTTCCTCCTCCCCACCACCCTCCTTCAACCCTTCCTCATCCCCAGCCTCACTGAGGCTTTGCGGGGAATCACCCTTCTTCCTGGTGGTGGCAGCACCTCGCGGTGAATGGACCGCACAATAGGCAGTCTTGCGCACAGTGAAGATGGTACCATTGAGGCTGGTTTCTCTCATTGGCTCAATCTTCATGAAGAGACCAGCCCTCTGTGCACACGTCACATGGAAGGCTGTGTAGCAGTTTACTTTATGGCACTGGATGGCGGCACCCAGCCCTTTCTGCTTGCAGATATAGCAGGTTAGTTTCCAGCGGGCAGGTGGGATGTTGTTGATGCCCTCAATAGGCTCCAGGAACACAGTGTTCGAGAAGCAGACTTCAGGGATCCAGATGGCACACACTACATGGGCCCAGAGCCCATCACTGGTCTGTTTGAAGGCGCCACCCTTATTGGGGCAAAGAACACAATCTACAGGCCGAGAGGGAGACTGCAGGCAGCAGCGGCATAACCACTGGCCCTCAGGGATGTAGGGCACACCGTAGCACTCCTGGTGTACAGCCAGGTTGCAGATATCACAGAAGAGAATGACATTGCTGTTGTGGCATTCATCATCCAGGCACACACAGCAGAAAGCATCTTCATCAATGAGTGACTGCTGGGCCCCACTACTGCGACTCTCCAAGTATGACTCTTTCTCCAGCCGGTCCATCAGAAACTCAAAAGTATCTGCTGACACCACACTGTGCCCATCTGCTCGCCGCTTCTCATTCACCATGTCCAACCAGGCAAGGTCCTCCTCATCCATGTCATATTCCACCTCTGCATCCAGGTCTTCAGGTGGTTTCTCAATGTAGCGATAATAGGCAGCAGGCAATGGGGGTGCTTCTGTCTGGGTGCCTAGATCCACTAGGCGGAAGCTGGGCTGTGGGAGGTTGAGAGAAGTGCTGGATGCATGTTTGGAACAGGACTCCTTCTTTTTGCCTTTGGATGAGGGCTTCTTAGACTTGCTGGGGAACTGAGGCTGCTCACTGTTTTCCTTGTTACTATTGCATTCAGTGATATCCTGAGCAGTCAGCTCATCCTCAGTGATGATCTTGAGTGGATCATAGATGCTGATACGATGTAGACGTCCATCTATGTCCACCTCAACAATTCGCTGGGCCTGAGCATATGTCAGGGTCTCCCGAGTGGGTGAGCATTTGAGACTGTAGGGGGATGGGGAACGTCGGCCCTCGGCATTTTGCCGAGATTTCCGGCGAGGCTTCCTCATGGCACTTGGTAACCAGGGAGATAGGCCTAAGGAAAGAAGGCCAAGAAACTGTGAGTTGAACATCTATGTATGCATGCACCCATTCACCCTTCCAAGTGGCCACTGAAAGCAGATGTTGTTCCCTCTGTGTGAACAACATGCCTCTTAAGCATCTACAAAGCTTCGTCTTTTTCAAGTCTGCACAACATCACTTCTCAGTGAGATCTTTTCTCTATCCAGAATTGCAAATCCCTCTCCACTACTAGCAACAGACTCTTCACCCAGTTTCATTTTTCTCTGCAACACTCATCATTTCTACCATGCTACATGATTTATGTATTTATTATGTTTGTTTACTTCCTCCCGCTAAACATAAGTTCTATGGGAGGGGGAAAGGGAGGGGACTATTTTGTTCACTGTTGTATTCCCAGTGTCCAGGATGCCTAGCTCCTAAGAAATCATTCAATAAAGCCGGGCGCTGGTGGCTCACGCCTATAATCCTAGCTACTCAGGAGGCTGAGATCTGAGGATCTCTGTTCAAAGCCAGCCCGGGCAGGAGAGACCGTGAGACTCCTTTCTCCAATAAACTACCAGCAAACCAGAAGTGGCGCTGTAGCTCAAGTGGTAGAGCGCTCACCTTGAGCTGAAGAGCTGAGAGACAGCGCCCAGGCCCAAGAGTTCAAGCCCCACGACCGACAAAAAAAAGAAATCATTCAATAAGTACTAGGTGAATGAAAGCAGAAACTAAACATTCAAGACCCTTGTCCCCAAGGAGCTCTGTCTGGTGCTCTAATATTCCAATGATCTCATGTTGTAATGATATACACAGGGCTGTAGGACAGCTAATAATGGAAAAGAAGGAGGTTAAGACTTCAGGAAAACAACAACAACAATAAGCTGGGCACAAAGGTGCATGCCTATATTCCCAGCTAACTGGGAGCCTGAGGCAGGAGGATCATTTGAGCCTAGAAGTACAACCCAGGACACATAGCAAGACCATGTAAGAGGGAGTGATAGATGTTGATAAGGGGGAAATAAAGAAAAATAAAGGAAAGGAAGAAACTCAAACAGCACCCATTGTCAAGTTCTCTACTGTATACTTAGCTGTGTCACAGAATATCAAAATTTCACAGGCCTAGCTAGAGCCCTCTTCCAACCCATCTTACTCTTGGCCTTTCCCAGAGTGAAGGCATCTGAAATGCCTATACAGGTAGCCTCAGGCCTTCAAATGATAGCAGATGGAATTCCCTGCAAAAGGCAGCACCCAGGCTAACTGTGTAATCCATCCAAGGTGACTGGGATAGTACCTGAGGTAAATTCTCAATGTATTGCCACCTGCAAAGTTCCTTTCTCCTAAAATACTTTTATCTACCCTGTAGAGCAAAGAGAAAGTCCTGGCATTTTTCACATCATTCTCTGGATGGAGGGAAGTATGAGAATCTGGTAAGGAGCTGTAGAAGCCAGTTACCAAGACCATCACTACCAGGAAGGCTTATGGGGTCATGATGCCCTACACCCTGAGCAGAGAGGTGGCAAAAGTACAGAGAGAAGGATTCCAGGAAGAAAAACAGTACATCACTGTGACTGCAGGATCAACCAACTGTATAAAGTGGAGATGGGAACAAGAACTTAGTATGTTTACTGAGCCCTTTTCCTTCTACTACCTTGGGCAATAGTATGCATCCATATTATCAGTCTCCATTTTACGGAGGAAGAAACAGAAGCTCAGAAAGTTACTCAATTGAAAGCTAGTAAGTGATAAAGCTAAAATTTCTATCAGATCTTCTCACCTGCTCAAATGGGAGTTAACAACACCATGAAGAGAAGGGTTCACGCCTGTAATCCTAGCCACTCAGGAGGCTGAGATCTGAGGATTACAGTTCAAAGCCAGCCTGGGCAGAAAAGTCCGTGAGATACTTACATCCAATAAACCACTAGAAAAATGGAAGTGGCACTGTGGCTCAAGTGGTAGAGTGCTCACCCAAGCTGAGTTCAAGCCCCAAGACTGACCAAAAAAAAAAATAAAACACCGTGAAGATGCTATAGTCTGACATAAAATGAGGCTCTGGGGGCAATCTAGTTTCTAATCTTGGCCCTATGTGACCAGGAGAAAGTTTCTTCATCTCCCTGAGCCTCCATATTCCACTAGTAAAATGAAGGCAATAATAAGCTGAGAGCTGGTGGCTCAAGACTGTAATCCTAGCTACTCAGGAGGCTGAAATCTGAGGATCATAGTTCAAAGCCAGCCCAGGCAGAAAAGTCGGTGAAACTCTTATCTCCAATTAACTACCAGAAAACTGGAAGTGGCACTGTGGCTTAAGAGGTACAGTGCTGGGCTGGGAAGGTGGCTCAGTGGTAGAGCGCTTGCCTTGCATGCCTGAGGCCCTGGGTTCGGTTCCTCAGCACCACATAAGCAAAAAGAAAAAAGCCGGAAGTGGCACTGTGACTCAAGTGGTAAAGCGCTAGCCTTGAGCTGAAGAGCTGAGGGACAGTGCCCAGGCCAGAGTTCAGGCCCCACGTCCAGACCCCAAAAACAAACAAACAAAAAAAAGAGGTACAGTGCTAGCCTTGAGCTGAAGAGCTGAGGGACAGCGCCCAGGCCCAAAGTTCAAGCCCTGGGACTGACAGAAAACAAAAAGTGAGGGCAATAGTTATATCTACCTCTTAAGAGTTGCTGTTAACACAGAATTAACATCCTTATTTAATACAACTTCCCATCCCTAGGTGTGCCTGAAATAAACAAGCTGGAGCTGGTTGAGCTCTCAGGATCATTCAAAACCAGCCCAGGAAGGAAAACCACCAAAAAGCCAGAAGTGGAGCTGTGAATCAAGTGGTAAGAGCACCAGTGAAAAAGCTGAGAGTAAGCTGGGCACCGGTGGCTCACAGCTGTAAGCCTAGCTACTCAGGATCTGAGGATCTCGGTTCAAAGCCAGCCCGGGCCACTAGAACCAGAAGTGTCACTGTGGCTCAAGTGGTAGAGTGCTCGCCTTGAGCTGAAGAGCTGAGGGACAGCACCCAGGCCCAGAGTTCAAGCCCCACGACCGACCAAAAAAAAAAAAAAAAGCTGAGAGTCAGAGCCCAAGCTGAGTTCAAGTCCCAGGGCTGGCGCACAAACCCACTAGCTAAGAGAGAGTGTCCCCAACCTCACTTCAAGCCCCCATTCCAGAAAACAACAAGCAAACAAAACTGGACTGAGGAGCAGTGCCGGCCAGGTAGACACACAGCCCATAGACCTGCTGTACTCCTCACCCCTCAAAAAGCAGGGTGCGGGCTGGGAATGTGGCTTAGTGGTAGAGTACTTGCCTAGTATGCATGAAGTCCTGGGGGTTCGATTCCTCAGTACCACATACACAGAAAAGGCCAGATGTGGCTCAAGTGGTCGAGTGCTAGCCTTGAGCAGGGACAGTGCCCACGCCCTGAGTGCAAGACCCAAAAAGCAGAGTGCTCCTAGGCACATCTACTCCCCACGCACCCCGCCTCACACACATCTGCTGCGCAGCAGCTCGGAGCCCCTCGACCTCCGCCCACCTTCAGCCCTCCCCACGCCCCTCCCCAAGCCTCGAGACCCCGCGCCGCCCACACCCGGCGGGCCCGCCCTCGAGGGGAGGGAGGGCTGCGGCGGAGCAAACCCGAGTGACTTTCGCCCACAAGGAGCTGACATTTTTGGCGGGAGTTTCCCGGTCAGAAGCAGTTCTTCCCCCTCACGAACTTCCAAGATACGCCCACCCTCACCTCAGACACTTTCTCAGCAGCCCCTGGGCCCAACACCCCCACACCCCCGCCCGGACCCCCACCCAAAGCCTGCGAAGTTTCTGCAACTAGACGGAACCCCTAGCACCCCACACAGGATCCCCAGGCCACAAGGCAAGCCCCCAGTCAAAGGCGCCTGCCCCTTTAAAAGGAGCACCTCTTCGAGAAGAATCTTGACACCCCTCGGAGGAGAAAGAAGGGAAATAGTTGGCTCGCCCCTAGCCGAGGAGGGCGAGCGCACCAAGACGGACTGACGAGGAGTCAGACCCCAACACCGGAGAAGCGAGCGCCAGCGAACGAGCGACGCAGAGATAAGCGCTCATTGGCCGCCGGCCCTGCCCGTCAATAGGAACTGGGAATCCTAAGGAGGCACCGGGGGCGGAACCCTTCCTCGCCCTGGCCAATTGGAGAGCATGGCGGGGGGTGGGGTTTGGCGGCTCCGCTTCCAGAGCCGGGGAGGGGGGGAGGCAAGATGGCGGGTGCGGGAGGGGGTCCTGGCTTTTCAGCTCCCCCCACGCCCGTCTTCTCTCCTCCCCCC